GATATATATATATATATATATATCTCTATATCACACACGCCCATGATCACGAAATATCACAACAACTGCTTGATTCCCGTAGAAATGGGAAAGTAGACAATTTAACACATTACATCTATCTATGCATCGACTATAATTATATAGACACGCTGAGGAAGACGCATACCTGATATTTGTGTTACTCGTCTCTCTCTCTCTCTCTCTCTCTCTCTCTCTATGTATAGCTCTATATCACGCACGACCATGATCACGAAATATCACAACAACTGCTTGATTCCCGTAGAAATGGGAAAGTAGACAATTTAACACATTACATCTATCTATGCATCGACTATAATTATATAGATACGTTGAGGAAGACACATACCTGATATTTGTGTTACTCGTCTCTCTCTCTCTCTCTCTCTCTCTCGGATCCTTTTCCCTGAACGTGTTAAGCAAGAGTGACGATAGCTGGCTGACGGAGGGTTTATAAACCACCGCGCCACTTTCCCGACCCGCGGCCATCTTCGTCCCCATTGTGTTTATCTAACTCATCGCTCATCGATGTAATTTACACCGATTTCACCTCGTTATTACCAATGACGACTAGACTGACTCCCACGCGTCGTTGACAGTCGACGGCAGCTCGGTCGCAGCGACGTGCGGAATCAGTCTAGAGGATAGCGATAATGGCGTACATGATTTGCGCACACAGGTACACATCGGAGAAACACAAATTAAACGCAATATGAAACCATTTCCTCGATTCAACTAGTGTTTGATCGATGGACGATAAATAGCACTAATTAAAAGCTTAATGATCACACGCGTTTATGCATATAATAACATGACAATTACTTGATAATTTCGACCATCACGCAATAATTACCAACAATTCCACTTTCTCCTCATTTGGTTGTTGAACCAACTCGGTCAGATTTCAACACGCGTGCGTTGTTAGACTGGTCCCTATCTCTGCTCTAAATATAGACACATGTGGTCTTTTAGCAAAGCGTAAAGACTATGGTACCAGTCTATCTCGTTCCATGCCACCATATCCGCGTTCTATACGAGTATTCATACAATGCAGTCATTGTATCGAGTCATTATCAGTAAGTTGTTCGATAAACGGCGATTGCGCCACTCAGTACGCATTCGTGGCCTACTGTCGCACCACTGCTGGGTCGACACATACCAGCCTCCGCAACGTATGCTTAACAAACATAGGCGAATCAATAGACATTGTGTTTGATGAATTTCGTCATATTATATAAATAGTTGTTACCGGTGCGTATACTGGCACGCGGTGTCGATCGCCTGTAAAGTACATGCAGGGACGAGGCCGTATAACAACGACCTGAGAGAGGGGGGGAGCAAAAAAAGAAATACGAAACGTTTTTCGCCTTATTTACTTACGCGCGTTTAAATACTCGTTATTTCGCGAAATTGCGAATATTTTGCGAATTGCGGTTAAGCTCGCTTGATTAATGTATGAATGTGTTCCGCGTGGCTGACTTGTGACGTAACAATGTGTGACGTCTATGTCAGCGTGATGTCGTCACACGCCCGCAGACGACGGAGGACGCGGAAGCAGACGCTTCCGGTCCGTCGTCGTGGAACCGGGAGTTTACAGATGACTTCCGGTGTAGTGTGAACGCGGGATAAGCGGGACGTGCATAGGTAAAATATTGCTAAATTTAAAGTTCACTTCATTCAAGTGTTTTACGTGCCATGTGAAGTGAAGTAACATGAGTAACGGGAGAAAAGTTCACTGTGGGGGGATTTTCACTACATTTTACCATAGTACCATAGTTACCATAGTTACCATAGTTACCATAGTTACCATAGTTACCATAGTTACCATAGTTACTATAGTTACCATAGTTACCATAGTTACCATAGTTACCATAGTAGGCACGTCAGTTGGATTGATTATTATTTCTTCTTCTTTGATGATTTTCCTGATTACCTTCCCCCGATGTTATTTATTATTGTATATATTCATTTTATATTTTCCATGTAAGAATTATGTGTATTCGTGTGTGCACGTGCGCGCGCGTGTGCACGTGCGCGTGTGTGCGTGCGGGTGTGTGCGTGCGCGTGCGTTATATTTAGTTATGTAGTGATGAATTCATGTGGCACATAACTAAATTTCTCTCTGACTGTCTGAAAATGTGTCAGCCTTGCGTTTATTTTATAGAATCGTCTCGCCCGGTGTATCGCTACTATTATGTGCTTCACAAGTGATGGTGCACCCTCCTCTATTGAAGATGGTCATTCTATGTAACCAAGGACGCGCAAGGAAACCATGTCCAGGAGACAGACAACACACACACTCATCACACGGGGTCATTATTCAGGTATAGTCACTTGGCATTAGCCAGTATATATATATATATATATATATATTTATTTATTTATTTATTTATGTATATGTATACGTTATTAAGCGTTACCCCATCAATGTACTAATACTATGAACCTGTGCATAGAATCTACTAGAGAGTAAATTCGATTACTATTAAATGCTGTTAAATGCTACCCATACTCAACACGTATGTTTTCTCTCTTTGTCGTGGTGATGCAGCAGTGATGGTGTAGCTAATCTGCTGCGTAAAGCGAGTAGTTGTGCTCGAAAAAGTCGAGTTGGTACGATATCCAACACAACCACTGAGCTGTGTATTATACAGCCTATAGTGAACGCAACACAGTTGCAGATGGTTTATGCTACATGATTATTTCGAGTGATGAAAGTGCGCGCGGGGTTTTCTATTTTTTAATCAGTAGCATAGTATTTTTTCAGTAGTGCATATAGTCTTTTCGCGACCATAACATTATTACATTCGTTGGAATAAAATTCTACCCTATACTACTACTATGTAGAATAGTAGCAGAGTACGAGGAGAAAAATGCATGCTGATTTGTATACTCATATATATATAAGCGTTCGATGAGTGGTAATTGCGCAGGTAAATATAAATGCGTATATATAGGAGTGTAATGAATTTGAAACTTTCCACGTGCTTTCGTTTGACAGTTGCACATGAGAAGCATGTAAAATCAACATAACTAGCTGATAATGTAAAATCATGTACGTATGAATATAGGTCGCTATTACTTTGCTGTATGTAACGATAGCTAACTGTTAGGTGTAGATATACACGTGTAATAGTGGGCATATGCAAAGTCTCTATTTGTTTCTCGGGTTTACATGTAACACTTGATAGACGCTAACTAGAAATATGCGTAAAATTATGATCGTTAGTATAATCAGCAGGTAAAACCTCTTTGTTATGCGTACGTGTACGATTCCATCAGTGAGTTGCTAATAGAAGCAAAAATATATGTATGTGGCATAGTAAATATCAAAGCCCGTAAAGTTTGTATTTGTAAACATTGTATAAAAGAACATATATATGTATGTGATATAGTAAATAGCAGAAGTCTTAATGTGTAGGGAAAAGTTGTTAAATGCGATCTACTTCATCATGTACATATATATTTAATTCCGTTATGTGAGGAAGTATTTAGTAATGTAAAGGCAACCGAGTCGAAACTCTGTCAAAAGACAATGACAACGAAGCATCAGCAAATTCAGTGCAAATTATTTATTCACCCAAATAATAAAATAAATAAAGAAGGCGGCCCTATAAATGTCACAATTGCTTAACACGTACAGGTCAAAGGTCACGAATTCTAGGGCTGAGAAAACTCGCGTCCGTCTCCATGGCAACGTGCATGGGTTCGAAATCTTAAAGATTAAAACAAATGTTCCCGTTTCGACGTCGTTCTTCCCTTCTTACGAAAAATACTACAAAAAAATTATCAAAATTTCTAAAATTCCAATATGGCGTCGTCGTCCCATGACTTGTAATGGCGGGAGAACGGGAATACCGGCCTGCGAGCCGTGCTGCCTTCATATACGGTAGTAAGGCGGGCGAATGGGGGGGGGACAAGCTCGATCGAACACACATATCTCATCTCTAATTTCAATTTCCGATTCACATCAATATGTACATGTCGGATACGTATAGGGGCGTGCGCACACACACACACGCACGCACTCACGCGCACGCACACACGCACGAACGCACGCACGATGTGGAGTCTGCGCAGCCTTTGACTATAGCGGTGGCCAACTAAAAAATCAGCCGGTCGATCGAATTAGGCGTAGGCAACCTTGTCGACGGGAGCGTAGGCAACTTTGTCGGCGTAGGCGGGAGCGGCGACTGGGATGGCGGGAGCAGCAGGAGCACCGTGGGGGTGTGCTGGCTGACGCACGGTCTTGCCGTAGTGTACCTTCGCCGGGGCGATGTCGACGGGCTGGTAGGCGACGCGTGGTACCTTGTGGAACCGATAGGCGGCGCCAGCCTTGGCGCTTCCGGCTCCTACTGCCTCTTGCGTGAACTGCTGGGCTGCATTCTGCTCAGCCTTGCGGGCAGCACTGATAGCGACGCCGGCCTCTCCCGATCCGGATCCGCTTCTCTCGGCCGCGCTGGCCTCGTATTGGCTCGCTGATCCAGATCGGTGACGCTCTCCGATGACGGCCGGACGGGATCGGATCGCGGATCCGGCGGGAGCGGCGGCGGCGGCGTCGGCACGGCCCTGGTTGAAGTTAAATCCGTCAACGTCGACGAATTCTCCGCCGAAGTTCTTGAGACCGATGCTGCCGACTCCGAGGTCGCCGAAGTTGCCAAGGAAACCGGCGTCAAGGGCTCCGTGTTGGTAACCGCCCTGAGCGTACGCTGGTGACTCGTATGCGGCGTAGGCGGGGGCAGCGTGGGCAGCATAAACGGGGGCGGCGCGGGCAACGTAGGCGGGGGCAGCGCGGGCAGCATAGGCGGGGGCGGCACGAGCAGTGTAGACGGGGTCACGAGCAGTGTAGACGGGGGCGGCGCGGGCAGCATAGACGGGGGCCGCGTGGGCAGCATAGGCGGGGGCGGCACGAGCAGTGTAGACGGGGGCGGCGTGGGTCTCGTAGGCGGGGGTTTCGTAGGCATTGTAGGCGGGACGTACGTGGGTGTAGGCGGGACGTACGTGGGTGTAGGCGGGACGTACGTGGGTGTAGGCGGGACGTACATGCTTCACGTAAGCTGGACGTACATCACTAACGTAGGCGGGGGTTCTGTAGGCGTGGCGGGTGTCGGAGGGAGCGTAGGCGAGTCCATCGTGGTAGCCCCTGCCCGGGTGACGGAAGCCGTAGCCGTCGTTATAGCCGTAGCCGTCGGCATGGCCGTAGCTACAGAGGGCGCCAGCGACGCATCCGAGAAGAATGGCGATTGCGAGAGTATTCATGGCGACTGTAAACAGAAAGGCAGCGTGTAAGTGTACAGTAAGTGTACAGTAAGTGTACAATAAGTGTACGGTAAGTGTACAATAAGTGTACCGTAATTGTACAGTAACTGTACAGTAAGTGTA